TAATATTACCACCCAAGCAAACAAAAATATTTCTTAATCAGTGGAAACCGTTACAGTGTTTTCTATCGCAATAAGCTTGCATTCAGTCAATAAAAATCGAATGTAGTTCTTAATTTGTTTGAGAACTGAGAAAGAAATTTGTTCGCGTCTCCGCGCATGTGCGCGTGTCTGCACTGTGTGCGTCTATGAGAAAGAATGCGTGATTTCCGTAGCCTACATAAAAAAGGTGGAAGATATGGAAATAGTTTGTCATTTTTTACCCTATTATTTGTTATATTTATTTGCTCAATGTCTTCTGGGGTTTTGGTTCTCTTACTGTTGTAGATAGCCCAAAGTATAACAAAAATATTATATATCTCTTCATTGTGTTTGGGCCCCCCCTGGACGAGCGAACATAGGTACGTGCCTAGAATGCCTATGCGTAAATCCGGCCCTGTTAAGACGGCAATTGGAAGTTATTACAAACACTCGATCGTGGTTTAAAGCGAGTTTTGAGTAAAAGCGGAATATAAATCTTATTTATTGTCTTATGTAGCATGATGCTACAGTTTGCATGAATGGCCACATAACACGCGCTTTCGGTCATGTAACGTTAGTATGAACAGACATCTGCATATGATCGGAACTCCACGCAGCTCCCGCGCTACTCTCCATTGAAAATGAATGACCGGTCTGTCACTTGTCGTTTGTTGGAGATAGTGGAAAGCCGGCTTGAAACGCAGTGGAAACGCCAGTATGACGAGGATCGTTTTCATTTTAAAACAAACGCACCAGTGTAAATGTAGCCTTACATCTAAGGGGGCTGTGACGCATTCGCACTACAGCCTCACATGTGCGCCACATCTCGGAGTGTAACCGGTATAAACTAGTAGGCGTGTTCGACTTGACGCGGACTGACTGTGCAGACCGATCGGTATATTACAGTACCATGAGAGCTAAAGAGAGCAGACTGCTCCGTGCGCTTTCGAATCGCTCTCGCGGATGATCGATCTGCGCCGCACCTCTTCTAGTCGAACAAACGCACCAGTGTAAATGTAGCCTTACATCTAAGGGGGCTGGGACGCATTCGCACTACAGCCTCACATGTGCGCCACATCTCGGAGTGTAACCGGTATAAACTAGTAGGCGTGTTCGACTTGACGCGGACTGACTGTGCAGACCGATCGGTGTATTAGAACTACGAGAGCTAAAGGGATTAGACTGCTCCGTGCGCTTTCGAATCGCTCTCGCAGATAATCGATCTGCTCCGCACCTCTTCTAGTCGAACACACCGGCTAGTGCTGCAGGCTTATTGGCTCACTGACGCTGATGAGATTAACCCCTTACATATCGAAATTTGGTACCGAACGACGAGACGTTTTTCGATACTCGATGGTATCGAGGCAATTCGGTCGGTGCCTAAAAAGTATCGAACTCGATACCCAGCCCTACAATACCCTCATGAAAACAAACAGAACGGGGGAAAAAAAACCGCAAAAAAATAAAAAATAACCAGGACTACTTGCATTCGATGCTGACATGTTACCTGTCTACTGACAGAACAGCGACAGCACAAGACACATAGCAAGGGAAGCCCATTGCTCTTTTTAATAAAGAAAAAGTAAAATGAAAAACTAGCGGGTAGCTACAGAAATGCGTTTAACCTGACCAATATTTCGTTCAACATAAAAACCAATGGGTTTCCTCACCATCACCCTGGTCTATTGGCAAAAGGCAGCTGTCATCATGGCTTCCGGTTAGGTCAGCCAAGGGTCAAAGGGCAAAGGTCACACACACATTGTAAGGTGAAAGCCAAGGCCAAACGGGACAGGCAGTCATCTTAGCCTCAATGGACTCGGACTCAGCCCGCACCGGACTCTTTTAAATTGAAACATCAAGGACTTTTGTTAATGTTGAATTCAGATGTAAACACAAAATCGCATCGTCACACGTCATACTGTTTACATGCCAGCGAGGCTTCAGAAAACAATCAACTGATTACTAAATCTATCGGCTAGAATAGATTTAGAGATGGGCCAATAAAGAGTGGAAACAGCCCACTATCTGACATGTAAACATCTTTAGTCACTCTCCCTGGCTTTTGAAGATTACTCAAGTTATACTGCACATTCTCATGACCCTTGGCGTTTAAAACGGGCCAAAACTACAAAAGCAGAGGCATGTTTTGAGGGAGTCCCATTTAAAAAGATCACATTTCAAAACCAATTTCATTAAAGAACATTAGATCCCAACAGCCTTCCGTCCGGACCACAGGTACTTCAGACTTTAACAGAGAAATGTAGTTAGTCACTGGATGCAGGTGCTATTGACAGTCCACTGTGAATAAAAAAAAAAAAACACTTATTATTCACCTCCACTTTTTCCTTGTGCCTGAGGGAGGGGAAAGAAAAAGAAGAAAAAAAACAAACAAAAAAAAAAGACAAAAGGTTTGTTGAGATGATGAACGAGACTGTACTTACTGCGCCCGTCGCCGCCCCCATAACCCCCACCATATCCATCTCGGTCCCGCCGCGGTCCTCTCGCGTGCTCCACGATCACACGCTCCCCGCACAGATCTTTACCATTCAGCTCGTACACGGCATCGTCTGCGTCACGGGTGTCCTCAAACTCCACGAACCCATACCTGAAATTAAATAAGCATACCTTTGGTTAACAAAAAATAGGGATGTAACGATTAACCACGAGCTGGTTGAAAATCGATTCAAATAGGGATGCAACGATTAGAGCCCGACCGATATATCGTTTAGCCGATTTATCGGCCGATATGAGCCTGTCGCCGATATATCGGTATTGGCGAATATGCCGCCGATATTATTTTTTTTTTTACAAAAACGCAGATTAAATGCTTCTGAATGGTGTAATTACTTAGTTTGTCCAGCAGAGCGTGCTCCATTGTTTGCTAC